GGCGCAAAACGCGCTTCCAATCTGGATTGAGTGCCGTAATTTCTTCTTTTCTGTTGAAATTGTTTTGGTGTTTAAATATTTCGATGGCCTCCCTGGCGAGTCTCGGGTAGTATCTTTCAGATTGGTGCAGAATGTCAACTTCGTCGAAGCGTATTTGGTGGCGGTCTAGTAGTGCGTGCTCCGCTACTGCTGATTTTTCCGTTTGTCCTAATCTAGATACTACCCGAGACTCGCCAGGGAGGCCATCGAAATATTTAAACACCAAAACAATTTCAACAGAAAAGAAGAAATTACGGCATTCAATCCAGATTGGAAGCGCGTTTTGCGCCAAACAGCATGTGCGCCGAAGCGTTGGAACCCCCACCCATCCCCCACGCATGATCACACACGGCTGGGCGGCATAAATACGACTGGGAATCCAGCAGTTGAATCATTCTTAGTCGGAAGATCACTTCGCCCACTGCCTCATCGCCTTTGAAAATGTCCACCGCAGTTGTGGACGAAACGTCAGGAAGAAATTCCGATAGACCACGGCTTCAAACCCCGGAAAACATTTCTAAATGTAATATGAGTACACTTTTAAATAATTCAATTCATTTTATACGTGACAAAATTAAATTAAATACCAACAACGCCGTATTTTGCCGGTTTCGATAACACTGCTATGAAAAGGAAATATTGCCCAGTATTAATTAATTCGGGTGCAGCATACAGCTTACAATTGCATATTAATGAACGGGCACTAAACACGTTCTTCCATATCTCTCTAATAACAAAGTGTAATCGTTCTTATTTTAGTGAATTGAATACCTACGCCTACCTAAGCAAAAGTTAAATGGACAATAATTTGCACAATTGTTGACTTATTTTCTTGCCTGTTAGTCACAAAATCTGCATTCTTAATGATGTATCACAAAACTTAAAACAAGCTGACCGATTAGTCACTTTACTTTCAATTCTTCTTTTAATATTGTTAGGTATAACGAACTCTTGTGAACAGCGCAAACTTGTGAAAAGACTATTCAATAACCAAAAAGGAACATTTCTCGAATTTGGCGAATGCGCTTTGTAACTTTTCCTATACACAGTGGGACAAATACAAAACACAAACAAAATTTTTATTGACAATTTACAAAATGTTTTTCTTACCTTTTTCGATTTTTGGGGTAAGCGTCGCTAAATGGGCGCCGCCGTCTTGGCCGCCTAAATTCAAACCTTCGCTTGGCGTCGCCAACTTCTCGGCCAAAATTGGATTCGCCGCTGCAATCGTGAATTTCCGACCGAGTTCTGCAATGTTTGGTGACCTCTGTGGTGAGTCTCGCGTACTACCGTTATCATTCGTAATGGTATTATTGTTTTCCTCTTGCTGAAACAGTAATAAAAGATTAACATCCAAGCGAATTCGACTGGAGTGTGTAGACCGAGTTTACCACCTTTTTTAGAAAATAAGCGCAAGTTTAATAGCATTTTTGTCCCAAAAATAATTTATATAGCACCCAGATATTTAGTAAAAATCTCAACTCGCCTATAAGTAATTCCATGAGTAATGTTAGGTGAACAAAGCACACCAACAAATTTTTGGGATTTTGTTCTGTAAGCTTTGTTTTTTCCAATTTTTCATATTCTTCAAATTATAATGTAGACTTTATCATTAATCGAATACGCACCAACTTCATGAATTGATTTTGGCAATATTGGCCTGTTTCAAACATTTCTACTTACTTAGAGCTCACTTATCGTTTCATAATCGAATGTCTTGCGGAATTTGTTGACCACGGAAATACCAACTGTATTTCCGTGGTCAACAAATTCGAAACCTTGGACTGTTTGAGAAATAAGTTTGAACTATTTTGGAAATTGTTTGGGCAGAATGAATCTTCTCGGACAGTGGTTTTAAGCACACATTCCACCTTTTATATAAAATATGGTAGCAAATTAATGTTTTTATTTAAGTAAATTTTAATTAAGTTTATTGTCAAAAACTAAATGTGGCTCAAAAGGTGGCAACCTGAGCCTACAGAATCCGTAAATTATAACGTATTTTTGATATTTTACCTTAATATAGGGAGTGCTGTTAAATTCACTCAGAATACTTTCAATTTCTATGGCAGTGGTGTCGCTCAAGTGTTTGAAAATATCGTCAGTGTCTGCAATCTGATTGCTGTCGTGCCCGCTATTATTCGTAAGCGAGGGTACTAAACTGGTCAGATCGGACTGAGAAAGTTCACCCAAAGCTGCTGTTGAGCTGGTACTAGTGCTGGTTGCTGCTGACTGAGTACCAATTGCAACGGATGCATCCTAAAACAATAGAGCAAAATTATAATATTACAATTCTATGAGTAACCGGTATACAACATGTGTCTAAAAGTTGATTATTTTGTATTTTGAATCATTTAAACCATAACAAGTAAAGGGTGAAATGTGGCCTAAATTACAAAACCAATTACAAAAGCAATTCTTCAGAATATTCGATACCATAACATGAACAACATAAAAAAACAGAAGATTTTAACGAATTTTCACAATTTGTTGCTTTGGCTATTTTAGCTTTACCTAGTAGAAAAGTAGTACATTCATAAAATATAAAATATTTCATTAGGTAGCATCAATTCAAGGTGCTGCTCACATTTACCGGCAAACTTTTAGGGGTGCTGAAAGACATTAAAACAAGCATTTTGGGCTTCCTAAACATGATGAACATAATACCTAAGTACTGTCTTTTTTCATTCGAATCGCGTTTTGCTGACTATCGGCACATTGCTAAGCGAAAGGAGGAGGTTAAGGTTAACGCTTTATTTGCGTAGTAGGTGTTAAAATTATTGTTAATTTAATATGAATAAAGCGCATTCACCATTTAGAGTAGACAGTTTTTCGACCTTTCTTATTTAGTTTTTTTTGCATTTTAACTGAACGTACGCATCATTTTTTGTAAATTTCAATAAACAATAATTCAAAATTTAAGAGTGTAACCAAGTAATAAAGCCCGACATACGTTAAATAGACCATTAAAATAAGTCGTTCCGAATGAATGCGAAAACTTGTGCGTTCGCCAATTTGTCTAGAATGTATAAAATCTTTTGATTTGATAAACTACTCTATATGAAACTTTGCTTACGCAGCCACTTTTCTACACTACCTGTAGGCAAGATGACAAATCGACCATTTTCCCATCATGATCACTGCTCCATAAGAGATCATTGTCAATGAAGGGCATCGCCAGAGCGGACATTGAATACTCGTGCCCCCCGCCAAGGGGCAATACGTGGGGACTGATTTTCACTGTTGGCTGATCTATCCGTGAGGTAATTGAAGTATGGGTATCAGCAGACACCTGAAAATAATACATACATATACATTATACATTTTTTAAAAACGTTAACAAGAAAATTCAAAAAAACGGTTAATTTGATTTTTGAAGAATTTCAAATTAATCTCTATAACGTTCTAATTTCTTATTGATTTTACCATTATGAACTGTTTAGTACATAGTCTGATCGCTAACATAATCTTAGCTAATTTGGGAATATTTCAACCCAATTTCAATGTCCCTGTCTTTTTTTGCGTTAAATATGGTTTGTCTGTTTCAAACATGTTGCCTGGTAGCCAAGTATAGGATATGGCGTGGTAGCCATCGTTTGCACTCAGATGATATTAATAAAAAGAGATACAATACCGCACTCCTCTATTTTGGTATGAATAATTGACTTTTAACACCAAATTAAACACAAACAATGTAACTACTTTCTCGTTTTGAAATAATATTTGACAAGCCAAAAATTTTGAGTTTTTGTGTCTCGGGCTATTTAGCGGTTCTTTAAATTTCTACCGTAACGATTTGATCCGCAATAAACGCATCAGTAATTTTTTGCAAGCTATTTTCGTGGATGAGAAGCAACTTAATCAGCTAGATTCCAATACGTTTGAATCTATATAGTTTTTTATTTCTGAACAAAAAATATAATATTGTTATATTAATTACTTTTTCCACTATTAGTGCTTAGAAGAATAAGCATCGTAACAAATCCAAACTTTGTCGATTTTGGGTTTTTCTTTACTTGTATTCTTCTAGGGGTCCTAATGGTATCGAGAAAATTTAGTCTTTTGAAACTTTTCCGACAAATTTAAAACACAAATGCACTGTCACTAAAATTAATAGCAGTTTAAGAGAAAATCAGACCAAGAATAATAAAGATTTATTAACAATTTCAATGTTTTGCAAGCAAACTTATTATCTACGTAACTAAAGTAAGTATCCTGCAAAGACAATTGTCAAAAAATGCAAGGATTGTTTTCTATTTTTGCACTGATATGAAAGCGACAGTATGGATTTATCTAGATAAAATTATATCCTGTGTGAGCTGACTAAAGAAATGGAATCTTGTTTGGGTTTGAATGGGAATTTATGCGTTTTTAAATAAAAATAACATACATGTACAATAACCAAAAGTTTGCAGAAAGATTTGGCAATAATAACATTTATTTGGCTCGAGTCTGGCATTATTATACACATTCTTGATGTAGGCATCTGTTTTTTTCATCTTATAATGTTGTTTTTCGAATTGGCATTTTTGTAGTTTTGCAAATGCGGCTAAAAAATCGTCCAAAATATTCCGTCTAACAATTTAATGTATTTACTGCTATTACTACTGAATATTTCGCTACTGACATAAAAACAGTTTTCAAATCCATTTCAATTATAAATGAAAATCGCTATTCAAATATATCTATCGCTTATTACAAAATTCCAATGTTTCGTCTTCCCCAACAAGCAGTTCGAAAATTATTCCGATTTTATTCCCAAAAATTAATTTATTTGGTTGATTTTGATGATTAATTGATTTTTGTTATTAAACGAAAGCAGTAAAACCCTTCTACTAAGTTAATTAAGTTTCAAATAATGTATTTACTATTTCAGAAGAAGACCGTATAAAAAAGATTCAAATTATATTGTCAATTTGGAACTAAAACGTGATTGAATTTTACCAAGATTAGGTAAATAAGATTCCGATGCAGCAATTCTAAAATACATTTGAGAACTTTGCATGTTAAATGAAATGAACAAATTGGCGAGACGAAAAACCTTAACTAATTAGCGAGGAAACAAAAATTCTAACATGTGAAAACTAAAACTTTAAAGTTTATTTATTTTAAAGTTAAAACAGATTTTATTTCTCGAATTCTTCAAAGCAAGTAAAATAAACTGATGTAACATCTATAAAATCTTATTTGTGATATTAAAAATATCAAATGAAAGACTTAAAACAAATTCAAGATCAAATGAATAAACTTCATATTTTTGTTTATGCTGATCGTCACTATAAAATTACAAATAATCTGCAGTTAGAAATTAATTTGAGAGAAAACATTAGTAGGTAATGATTAATAATTAAGAGTTTAAATTGAATGCAGAATTAAAATGATTGCAATTTATAAGTACATAAATTAATTGGATCCTCGATTTCTTCGATCTAAGAAATATTAATTATTTAATGTGATTCTGTTTCTTTATGTGTTTACAGGAATCCTGAGTGAAAGTAGTAATATTTTAATGTGATTGAGTGAATGTGATTACGGGTTTCGCTTAGTTTAGTAATCAGTCGTGGGATTTAAAGCAAATTGATAAACTGAATGAGTTAATTAACATAAACATCATAAAATCAGACAAAGCTATTTAAAAACAGAACAAGTAATTACCGTGAAATATCCCTATGGATCTCGAATCTTCTCCAATACATGAAAGCTGATTTCTTTTCCACCTGAAAAAAACGAAAGCGTTAATAAATCGAATTTAGGTAAGAACTATTTTGTTAAATAGTTAATAATGTTTGTATCAAGCTTTATGTATAGTTTTATTTACAAGATATAACTATGTAACAAATGCCAAGTTGGACGGTTTCTATTGTTTACTGATTTCAATAAAATATGGAAACAACACAGGAAAGTAAGTTCAAATGCAATTATTATTACATCATCATTAGTAGTCGTGTTACGCGGCTTTCACTTGCACTTTTTTTCTGCGATTAAAGTTCATTTCACTTTGAATAGTTTAGTTGCACGATATTCGATATTCGCTCGTTCTTAGAGAAAGTTTTATAACGATTATATGGGATAATTAAGGCCGCTCTTCCAGTGTCAGTGAACTTAAGCATCCATAAGATTGTTTGTAAAACGTAACATTACATTTTTATTTACAGATATTGATCATTGTAATCGAATACGTATCTACAAATTTCGTTCTATATTAGTCGTGCATATATTATTATAAGCATGGATAAACGGAAGAAATATGTAAGTAAAAGTGATGATCAGAAGAATGCAACAATTTTATTTGATTTAAACTGAAATTATGGTTTAGTAGAGTAAATTACAATATCAATATCTAAAATTAAATCAAACCGCTAAATGAATGATCAAAAACTTTCGCTGAAAACTAACTGAACTGTTTAAAGAACACCTTCCGTAATGCAGCGCAATTGTGAAATACTCCATAACATCGTTTAAGAGAAATTAAAAAATACAATAATTTATTTTACAATTTGTGAAAGTATCAAATTAAACGGTATTGCGCAATGCTTTCTATTTCAGATTCCATCGTTGGACATTATGCAGTTTTGCGCGTTTTATTGTATTTGTTTACATTAATATCTAATTTATTTGCTGATGCTAAAAATGCAAAGCACATTAACCGGCTTGAAATTGTGAAATAACTATGTTAATCGTTGTTTGTTATTCAGGAAAAGTATTTTTGTATAAATTGTCCTATTAGAGAACGTTGTAATATTAGGCAAGAACGGTAAAACAGTGGTGTTTTAAATTAGGCATAAATTTCAAAACTCATATATGTAATAAGAAATATGTTATCACACAATAATAATTGGAGGAAAATTCCCCATATAAGCGTCATTAAAAATAAAGTGAGTGCTGTAATATTATTAGGTAAACATCCAACGAAGTGAAAAAATAAATCGTCAAAACTTTGAAATTTAATAATTGGAGATTTGAATAAAGTTTACCGAAAAATGGTCCATTTAGTAATAATCGACTCAATGATTGAGAATAAAACTCATAAGCATCAAATGAATCTTGTAAACGATAAAATAAAGTAAAAACTAAATTTTCTAAATAAAAATGATAAGCTAAGATAATCAGAATAGGTTCGTAATGTAGCCAAGTTTTATACTTCAAAGCACCAAACTGATTGCAAAACCTTGTTCTTACATGTAAATTAATAGCTTTTGCTTTTAAATAATAATAAATTGGGAGTGCTATTTCCTCTATTAAAAAGTACGCAAATTGTACATTTAAATACTAGCTTTTTCATTTTATTCTTGTATTACTTATTTCAACTTTCTTTGGTTGTAAATAATTGTGATGCTGCTAACTTTTTATTCAAACAAGAAATCTCAGAAATCCTTTGATCAAACCGCATTTATGTCATTTAGCTATTTTACATATAAATTACTATTTTGCATTAAAAAATACTTGAATAATTTTAAATATTTTATGAAAAAAGAGTAATAAATATATTTGAACGTCACTTTAGGAAAAGCTAACCTGAGATTGATCTGAGCGATTCTAACGTAACTACATTGATTATATAAAAATACGTTTTATTTGGTTAAATTTTGATAAACCGTCTAAGAAAATGTACACATATTTTTTTAGAAAAATCTTATTCACTTTTTAAATGACAATAAAATATAATATTATTTTTTAAACGGAAAAGCAAAAAAGTTTATTAAATGTATGAAATTCTACAATACAATTATTTGGTTTAGTTTTTAGTTTTGGCTATCAATTGACATATTCCAATTTTATTTCTTTTTTTACAACTTTTTCTTTCTACAACTCGCTGCAAATAATAAAATAACACATAGGACAGAAATATAAAATAGATAAAAACATCGATGTTTTATCAGGATTTAATTATCGATATTAGGCTATAATAAAGTAGTATTATTAACACATTTCATGAGTAACTTAAAAAAAATGATTGGTTTTTCATCTATGTACTTTTTTAAAACTGTTTAGAAATAAGTTAATAGAAAGTTGTTCAATGTTTTTTTGGAAAATTGGTTTAAAAAAAAATTCCTAATGTCAAATTATAGAATACTGTCAACCATTTATTACACTTTCTTAGTTGATTTTATTTTATTTTATTAATTTTAGGTACTACTTAGTACTAGCTAACATAAGGCTGCATCTGTGCATAAATGTTCAAATTTATAAAACTGTACAAAGTACAAAGCAATTCTCTTACTGGACTATTAACGCGTGTATCGTCCATTTTGCCTTCATGAGGAAAAATGCACGTCGCGGCACAATTCAAACCACGTGCTAATCTATCGCTATTAGAAATGAGTTGACCATATCGACAATGTTTTCCAAAAGTAAGTTTCTCACCAAATTTTTGTATATTTTTTTCAACAAGAAAGGATAATCATTTCTAGTTGGCACACACATAAAAATTGGAAAATTGTTGCACTGAGCAAGGAGCAAGCTGAATTTCACCTATTTTACATGATAAAATGAAAATTAAAATAGCAAATATTTCTAGTTCGGCCAGTTATCGATTGACGTCAAAATATACACAGCTCAGCTCTACACGAATTTTTATGCCAAGTCGCTTAGCAACGCACATACGTTCGTTGTTGTTGAAAGATGGCGGATCGGGCAGGTCCTTCTAAGGAAAAGTGTGATAACGATAATGAAATTGACGAAAAGCTTAATCTTTACAGTGAAAAATTCGATCCGCTCACCTTCTTATTGAGTAATAAAACGACAGTGCCGAAACCGACCGTAAAACTTTTTGATAATATAGCAATGTGGTATTCTCATTACACTAGAGGTGGAAGTTCGGCCGGCAGAGGAAAAAAACCAGAGCAAAAGGATGTAGCTAAGCGAAAGTGGCTGCCACATCAATGTAAGAACTACATTACCGTAAATGTGTAGATTTTCAACATGTTTTGGTACCGTATTCAGGCCAAAATAGGTGAAAGTGTAAAAGTTGGGTTATGTTATTTTGTTTACTATTTTACATTGTAGTTGGTAGTTTTATAATAACTGAAATAACTTTGTAAGACGACCCAACCGGGGTTACTTACTTAAATAATTTAGAATACTTTGTTATTTCTTGACAATTTGTTTTCTGAAATATAATTATACTTATTTGCCATATTAGATACCTAGTAAGATGTGAATTGCAAACTTTGGTTACAAATTATTTTATTTTATCAATCTCACAGTAAGTTTTTTTAGTTTTTGTAAATTCGTTTTAAAGTTTCAGTTTTTTAAGTTTGTCTTAAAGTTTTAGTTTTAAATAAAATGATAGCAAATATTTAAAGTGAAATATTTTTATATACAGGAGCTTAAAGAAGTGCAAACAGTTACGGAGTTACATAGTTTTGATGCTACAAGACATTTTCTGATTTATCGTACTCATTCGCGGAATGCTCGAAAATTATAGTGTGGATTGTGAAATTTTAAATTGAAATAGTGCATGTTTGAAACTTTGTCGCAACCTATAAAACCACATAAAAGTGGCGATAAAATGATTGCACCCGGTATCCTGTACAAAAATCTGGAATAACAGAAAGCATTAATCCCAAATATCAGCCATTAAGTGGGATGTTGAAAGGCAATTTAGTTACATTAAAAATGATTAATTTATATGCCTCCAACGGCAATAAACTGGTTGAAGAAATGAATAATGAAATAAGTAAAAGTACCAAAGACTGGCTTTGGGGACTATTATAATATATAGACTTATTTGTGAAATCACATAGTCCGTTTTAATCTCCAGAATAGGCAACGAAGCAGTTGAAACATAGAACTTGGTGGATTATATGGAAGTTGTGGAATGGATCATTCAGCATATATGAATTCAATGAGAAATCCAACTGAAATTAATATGGTGACATATGGATGTTAAATATACCGGTAAAAGACGTAAGAATTACCATTAAGCATCTCTTAATGGTTGTGGAGCATTTTGCGAAGAATCAAAAGCTTGATAATGCAAATGATAAGACGAAATGGATGTTAATTTTAAAGCAAAAATACATGTTTTTAAAAATCTATATTAAAAGTTTCAAGTAATGGAAATAATGTATTTCAAAAAATATATAGCAACGTCTTTCATACGGCTCCAATTACTTATGTAATTTGAGCTTGATTAGTGCGGAATAATTGGCCTCAGAATCGACGAAATATTTGAAAACGACAACAATGATCAAGCGTTTTTCACATGAGCTCATGAGCAGAAACATATATTTTATGAAAGGAGCTGGAGTCGCACTAGAAATTGCGATTAATATTATAACACATTACTTGCGTTATTATAACCTTCTGAGCGGGATTCAAAAACACGACGTTATTGAGTCATGCTCCTGCAAAGTTAGATTACAGTGTGAAAAAATGCGACATTTGTCAAATCAGCAGAAACATATATTTTGCGATGGCACTTGAAGGTTTATTAGAAATTGAAACATCGACATAGCTGGAGATACAGATGAAAATATTGATCAATTTTACACAAGACTTGAGAAATATTGCTCACGTTTTTGAAGAGTATTGACACACAGTTGATTGCAACACGTCAACCAACTGTATATGATGAATATGAATGTCTTAAGAATAGAGGGCGATATGCAAACTAAGTCAAGCTCATTTTCTAGATAAAGTAATAATCAATTTGAAAATGAGAATGTAGGGATAATATTGACTATGTTGCTGATGGAGCTCAGAAAGATTGTTTGAGGGCATTTTTTGCATCGGTCTACATATTCAAACTTAAAAAGGCAAAAAATTACAGATTTGTTTTAAATAATACTGCTGCTCAGATCAACAGATTTTTATATTTTAAATTAATACGGGGGAAAAATCCTCCCAACCCAGATGAAGATGTTAAATAATAATTACAGCACAGGTCCCAAATCGATTCTACAAAGAATCGTTATATATTTACATCAAAATTTATTGGTTAATAAAAAATATGTGAGAATGACTTTTTAGAGAACGGCAAAGACAATCTGGTTTGATGGTTTGACCAATTCTAGAAATCTTTCACAATGCAGTGCATACATTTTATCCTTCCAATATTTTCCAAGTGACTAGAAAGAAAAATGACTGATACGATAGTTTTTCCCTCTGGTATTCGAAAAATAAATCAAGTAGAGTAGCACTGTTGCCAATTTTTATCAAACACACACACTTAGTGGCTGAGAAGGGTCAACGTCTCCTAGATAAGTTCGCTAGCATAGCTGACGAGATCGTATTTTCGGAGTGGAGACATGCAGAGACTCGGAAAATTTAATTCAAAAACATCCTGATGAGTATTTTTTTCTTAAAAAAAAAACAGATGTGTATTTGCTTACTTTAAGGCGAGTCCTGCAAGGTGGCTACAATACTTAAAAATAACAGTCGCAAGCAAAGCATTTTTAGGTGCTAGTAACATTTTCCTATTTTAGAAAGGCATTAAAAGTGCAAAAAATCCGAAATATCACACTGTGCTGTTATTAGTAGTAGCAGCAACTGATTTCAAAATATTTTACGATTTGGAAATATATTAATAATGAAAGTAAATGAAATAAAAGGGCAATACAATGCAGTAAAAACAATATAGACCAAGCACTGAAGGACAATCCTTACGTAACTATTACAACTGCGCGGAAAGGTTTATTGGGTGTTATATCCATTAACGCTGTTGAGAATGCTTGATGACATATTTTATGGGTATTTAATTGGTACAATGTACTTTCTGAATTTTATTGGTGTGTATATTTACTAGTTTTCATTTGATTGATTTTACGTAGCTTGTATAGTTTACACATGTCACACAGGAGTATATTTATTTGGAATAATTAATCGAATTTGAGTGGCTCATTAGTAAAAACTATGTTAAAGCGGTGGTTATTTTTGAGGCGGCAGGTGTAATTATGAAACTAAAAATAGTTTTGTAAAGTTTTTTATTAAATGCGATTGCCGGACACATTAAAATATATCGTTTTCTTCATAATAAAGTAGCTGGGATAACTTCATAAAGCTGCTGCTACAAATACAAAATGAACGTTGATCTGAATGGAAAATAATTTATATTTGTATTTCATGATTTTTGAATATTCGTTTTTCTTGCAAATGACCGAAAGGATTACCGATGTTATTCCTCTGCTAAAATCTCGTTGAATTTGCGACCGCGTTTGCCTAGATCTCTGACTCTGCTAGGTCTATGTATTTTGTTTTTTAAATTACTTTGTTTCTCAGAGTTTTAAAGTCTATTTTTGTTATAAGAATCAAAAACTTCGAAATGTAAGCAGAATGAACGAATAACTATCGTATAAAATTACTTTGAAATATCTTTGCTTATTAAAATTGACTTCATTTTCACTGTGCCATCTTTCCTATCTATTTTTTTCCGTTAAAATCTATTTTAACTTTCTTCTATATATTCTATATCTATTTTCCTATCTATTTTTTTCCGTTAAAAGTTGTAAGAAAAAGTTCGAGTAAACAGAAATCAAACGTCAACATGATTGTAAAGAACAATTGATCGAGTGCGGCTTTTGTTCCAGAAACGATTTTTATAAGACTAATAATAACATTAAAGAATGCAAATTAACATCTTAATATGTAGTTCTAATAAGCAATATTTTTTCTTCGAATAAGAACTATTTTCAATTTGCATAATCGGTTCTGAACCGTAAACTTTCCAACACACATGAATTTCTAAAAAAAATTATGAATAAACAAGTTATCTGCAGATTGTTATGTTCACGTTGCGGTTACCTCAGAGCATCCAAAAGAAACGAATTCCGTACATCATTTATTGTACATTTTTATTTATCTAGTTTAAAGGAAAGTTGAATCTATTAACGTTTTCAAAGGGAACTACAGGTTTGTGATGCCAGACATAATAATATTTTTTTTTTATTAAACAACTGCCCAAAATTATTCTGCCATGTTTTTAATGTTTATTGCAATAACAAATACAAAAAAGTGAAGTTAAAATTTGCAAGCGACAAAAGTTTTAGTTTCAATGTTGATAGGTTTTGATGCGTAATTTTCAGTTGGAAAAATTGCAAATAACACAATTAAAAGTTGCTGGCGGACAGACACGTCATAATTATTATAATAATGTGTTTATTTTGCATTAGTGCGTCTATATTATAAACGTTTCAAAACAGAATATTTAAAGTTATCAGAATATGCAGAGTTAATAATTAAAACTGAACCAAATATCACAAAAAAACTAAAATATTGAAACTCAAAATCTCTCGTAAATTATTAGTAGTTTCTATAACTAAGTAAATTTGTCAGTCGTCATATACATTTTATCAGTTACTGTGAAATTCAGTACTAATAAAACATATTTTAATTAAGGTATTCCTGTCACCATTTAGTAATTTGTTGTACGACGTCATTTTAAGATCAGAAATATTTTTATTTTTTTATATTTAAGAATAATAATAGAAAACCAAACTGATTCAATTTGTCGGTTGCTCAATTATGTTCAGTCATTTTTGTATCTAATTCTGCAAACTATACGTAAATGAGCTCGTCTGTAATTGACATTCTGTTTTCTCTTGTCGACCAATTCTGCAATTCACAACAAAACTCACGATTTTCAGGTAGTTTCTCTATGAATCCAAAAAAAATATTTTGCTGTTAAATTTTGGATCAAAATCGTATATCTACTTAGTTTTATACTTATTTATGGACTTTTCTAAAACTATATTTCAACATTTTAATTATCAATTCAGCAAGTTGTTGGACCAGATTATTAGTATAAATTGTGATGAGCTGCTTTTCAATCATTAGTTGTTTTATTTCTTTTATTATTAGTGCACATGCCTTTATTTTAATTTTTGCATTTTTGGAGTCCTTGGAATTGATGTTTTCTTCATTACACAACACAGTTATAGCCGGATTTATGTCTCTTTCTATCTAAAACTCCCGATGGATTTTAAATCTCCTTTATCTAAACACCCGCCGTATAAATAGGAATCTCTTGGAGGAAAAAGTAGGACAAGTTGTGGGCGTGGGCATATTGGCATCTAAAATTAGACCATTTTTAGTCGCTTACAGGTAGGAGTCAATGTCCTGGACACATAGACACAGTGGAGGTGTGCGACCAAAATATTTTGATTATTTTCATACTGGCTTAATTGTATATTTCATGCATGTGTCTTTTATCTCTTAATTTTTCTTCGCTACGTAAATATTTGTATACAGCGATCCAATTACAAGGGTTATATGAGTTCGAACGTTGATTCATAGTTTGCTCATCCTCTATGCCTATTTATTAATGGTTCAATGCCTACTTTAAGCTAAACCATAGTGAAAACAATATACAGAATCATTTATTTGATTCATAGGGGTATTTGTTGATTTATAAGTATCAGAATATTTTAATTTGTTGATTGTGTATTTCCTTTCGATGTATTTATCAAAAAAAAACTCTTGAAAGTTGCTAATTGGACGGAATTATTTGGGTTAATAACTGTTGTAGATATTTTCTTCCCAACACTTCACTATTGCATATGACTTGCATCTTGAGAGGCCCTGATCTTAGCTAGTTTGTTCTACGCCCAACACAAATCGAGGAAACAATTTACCTAATGAAAACTGAGATACAAATAACATTAACAAAACATTTTTTGATAAAATATATTTATTTCTTTAAAACTGCATATAAAGGCTATAACAAAAAGGATTAAGAAATGGAAGAAAAATTAGGAATGAAAGAAAATGTTGCAATAGACTTAAACCTTAAAAGAGAGTGAACAATATATATTCTATGATGGGATAAATTCGTAAATCAATCATAAAACGAATGTAACCATTAGCTCTGGAAATGTGGCGTTAATTGAAGATCTGATAGAAATGAATAGTCTAAAAATATTTTACCTAGTGGTAAAATTTGGGTCAGAAAGTATGTGTTTTCAGTTGAGCCAAAAATGTATTCTTAAACATTAGGTACATAGAAAATGTGACCCTTAATAGTAACACTATTAGGTCATAAAATATGTCCATGTTTTGGAAAAAACTGCTCAACTATTGCACTTACATGTAGTTATATGTTTTTTTAATTTAACTTCCAGTGCCTGTTGCTACAACAAAGCCAGCCCGTTCAAACAAAAATGTTATTCTGAAAATGGAGACTATGCAGGGTCCTTTAGCTCTACTCAGGAAATACACGACAGAAAGAACCAGAATCAAGGTAACGTATTAGTCAGTAAATGCTATTCCATTTAGGTATTATTTTGCTAAAATGATGTTGTCTCGGATCAATTAAACTCAATGCTATTTGCTCACGAATCAAACAACTACCTTCACATTAATTAATTTGAACGCAACCAGAAATAATTAACCGCTAAATAAAATGGGGTTTGAAAAATTTATGTTTGTCCTTCACCAGGGTGTTAGAATTATATGTCGGCTAAATTCTCACATAATAAAAATGGCACTGAGAATATCTCATTTTTAATTATCATCTTTATGAATCTCGCCATCTTAGATCTGTTATCGAAAATTAGATTGGTTTATTAGGAAATGACAAAGTGTTGATTTAAATCTGCTATCATTGAATATTTTTTTAAATATAATATTCAAAATACAATTTAAAGAAAATTTGCAAATTATTGAACCAAAAGAATGATATTTAAGCCTTTGTAAAAAATTCCTGTAATAAAATAGCTTTGAATACAAATTTATCGAGGTCCGCCTTTGAGCAATTTTCGTATTTCAGGCTATTGCGTTTTTTTGGAATTTATTCCCATCCGCTACGGCCCACCAAATAGAATCTTCATGGCGTGGCAGGAATCTGGGAATGGCATCTGGGAAAAAATGTTCAAGTAAAGTAATCCTGGAAAGATCAAAATACTTCTATATCTGGAATTATCATTTCCTACGCACAACTGAATATTATATTAGATTTAGACCGAGAATCTGTATTACTGGGCCACAAATTTGATGTGTAATAAAAACACGTTTTTTTCAAGAAATCGTTATATAATATGACGCACAACAGCAAATACGAGTGACTATCAACTTACAACAGAAAAATGTCAATAAGTAGCAACATATATTCATCACTACATGATCCCAACTATTTAATCAATAACGCTAGAAGACATACAAAACCAAACATTAAACGACGTAGATAATTTTTCGCCGAAAGGGAATCCGTCAGCTTTTGTCAACACCCCTACCCAGAATCATCCTGAAACTAATAAAGCTAAAAGGAGACTTATTATTATTAGATTAAATAAAATAAATATATTAATAAGTACATTTTCTAGCGGTCTTGTATTATTCGTGCCGTCTTATAATTACGGGAAAATTCGGGAAACGTAGAGGACCGAAGGTCCAGAAGACGCCCACAAACCCGATGGACAATTGAGATTTAAAAAACGAGGGTCGAAGTTAATGGTGAGAACAACTAGAGAACCTACAACAACAAAAATTCAGAAACATGAAAAAGCGGCATAATAGATAATGCAGAAGCAGTCAAAACTGCAAAAGCTAATTAAACAAATTTAGAATTTCATCACTTTTTCATTTTCTGCTTAAAAACAATACTGTCACGACATACAAGCAAGACCTTTACGGCAAAAAACAAATAGTCAAATCAGCATACATATTGCAATCTGCTGATGACACTGCACTTATTGTGCAAGAGAAACTACAAAGAAAGCAGTGTGCAGGGTTGAGACACTGATGAACAATACAATCGCAAGGTTCTATAAACCGAGAAAGAAAACATCAACTTCTCCTTCCCAACCACAAAATCAGTGCAGATTCTCCAACGAGACCAGCTGACGGTAACATAACTGAACCATTGAACACCTACGAATTATCAAAATAAATCACTTTCGATCGCTAGCGTACAGACACAAAAGAATCAACACAAAAACTGCCACCAAGACATACAAAGCATTATGTAGACCTCTGACGGAGTACTATCATACTCTGAGCAAATGCTTTCAATAAAACTAAACGATACATACAAACAGCGGAACCGATTAACAACGAGATAAAGGTATCCGAAAAAAATCTCTAGACAAAATGCATTAAACCAACTATTTTATAAACGAACAAACATGGCAAGGATAACGGAAAGACTGGTCCAAATGCAAACAAAATGGAATAACAACTTCCATAACTGGACCATACTGAAGCCTCTTTGCCTCATGAGACAAAGCAGATAATTCCGCTTTCTTTTGTCAACAACAACAGTACAAAGCCAGTTACAAACACAAGCGATCTACTCGAATAAAACAGTATCTAATAATAATAAGAATATAAAATGAAGTCTAGATTATGGATCTTTCTTCTACATATACACACAAGAGCAGAAAGATCGATTGGGTCGATAGCCTATTCCATAAGAAACAGAGATTGCTTATCTGTCTGAAACGCATAAAGACGTAGTTTAATACATTGATGGCTTCAAAGTTTAAAGAAACGAAACTATGTTTTAAACAATTAATGGAAATGGAAAAAGCAAGAGAATCGTTTATAAAAGTATTACAAATACTAAATATCAGTATTTAAAACTGATTTTTTTTCTTAGTTTTTACAACAGATCTGAAGTTCTTGACTTGACTCCAAAACAATTGACGGGATATTTGGTGAGGACGATTGCAACCAGGCTTGATTTGTTTGACTCACAAAATAATTTTCAGATCCTTCCATTTGTGAATAATCCCCTTTTCTTAACTATAAAACGTGGCTTTATTATTATATACTCCTAGATTTCATGCAAATCAGATAATTTAGCAATTATAATAATTTATCTGCAACGAGTGTCAATGTCTTATTTCTTATGTAGTATTTCTCAGCACCTGAAATCCTCATCAACATTAACTCGGTTGTATTAATTTGTTTTCCTCATTGAAATATCATTTAACGAAGGTCGTTGATTGTTTTTTTCGCTGATAGTCGACGACTATGTTTGTCACAGACACTTTCCAGCCTGTAAATGCACAGTTTATTTTCGTCCGCGAGGTTATTGATTAAATGCAGGCCAATACATGCCAGTTTTTTCACTCGAAAAGTCAGTCTAATTGCACTGGGATATTTGGGTTAAGAATTGCATCTCCAAGTGCAAAATATTTTTAACTCAATGATAAAATAGCATTCTTATAATACTCAGCTACTGGTTCCGATTGCTGATAAACAACTCTGAAGCGGAGATTTTGAGTCAAAGTATGCCTATCCAAATTTGGCTTCTTGATTCTTGATTCAATAAGTGCATATTCTAAATTGTAGATAAGTTCTATATTGTTGAGGCGGATTCATTTTTTACAAACTTCTTTTTGGGTATTTCGCCTCAAAAATTTTTGTAACCATCACTGTCGATACTCTCAGATGAATGTCTTATGTTAATTACTATGTTGATTATGTTAGTCGTATTTTAACCAACTTTGGCTGCTAAAGTTCTGGTTAGCAAATCTTCCTATAAGTGCTACATGCAAATATTAAGAAGCAAAGCAATGTCTTCAAAAAAAATTA